AGAGAATTACTTGAAAAATTAATTGCGTGTGTTGAACCTAAAAAATCCGTTATGTAATGGAAAATGTATTTAAACTTAATCCTTTCTTCATATAGTTTTCTTCCTTGATCTATTTCTTAAATTGTTTTGTCTATTAAGATTATTTATTAATCAGAACTTAACACTTCTGATTAATAAATAATCTTAATGTAGTGTCTATGCTTTTAATAATCTATACATATAATTTACTATCATTTTAATACTCTTTTTCGATGAATTAGATACTTCTTTTTATTTTTAGAAAAATTTGCTGTATACATTTATCAATTATGAATTAAAGTTTTTTTATTAGTATTGACTTGACACGAAAAGAAATGTCATCTACAGTATTGTGGTCGAAAAATTCGTTGCTTTCTCAAACAACGTCTTTCGGCTCTTTCTAACTCTTCGATAGCGATAAGAATTGCGTATCCGTCAGCCATTTTTACTTTCGTGTAGCGATCTCACATGCTCGACTCAACGTGAGTAGCAACTCGCATGGTGAGATGGGAAAGCACGTGAGTTAGAATTCGAGACTACCAATTTGACGTCAGTGTGTGAGATGGTACCACGTGACACCTTCAACACGTTGGGAGTTGTAACACGAAAAACTCGAGACTAAGGCCCCAGGTCTATCTTTCTCGTTTGTCTTGGGTGTGAACAGTACGTCGTCATTATTTCACCGGGCTAAAGTAATCGCCCTATTTTTGTGTGATCGATGTGCTGTATTGTACATTTAATATACGTATTCAATGAAGAACTTTCGTACGCATTGCTCGCTAATAGCGAGGTTGTGGCCGAAGTTTTCATCTCTAAAACGTTAACGTCGAACGTTGAGCACCGCTATCTTGTAAGCGGCGCTCGACATTCGACGTTTACGTTTTACAGATGAAAACGTCGGTCACAACTTCGCTAATGTCCCGAACTGGCATATGTCAACCGCTTTTTGCCGGGTTAAAATTTACGAAGATATTTCGAGACATAATGCAAAAAAGTCGTAAAGCGGTTTTTCGTTCCTACTCGGACGCAAAATTTACTAATTTAGGAAGGATTTTGGGTCGGCCACGTTCCCGCTTATAGCCTAACTGGATGACGTTCTACGGAATATCTTAAGAAATTTTAAGCCATGTTCTACCGGGCTTAAAATTTCCTAAGATATTCCGAAACATATTGTGAAAAATTTGAAAAGAGGCTTTTTGCTGGTTCTAATCTTGACATTTATATTGTATTTCATAAGCAATCACGTCTAATCTTTCATAAATCACGTGCTCGCCATAACGTTACAAAATTTAATGCCCCTTACACAGATGTTTAAATAAGTTTATTTCGAAATTATATCTGCAAAGAAATAACGTTATTTCTTTTAGAAATATATTTTAGACAATATTAAATAAAAGATGTTACAAGAACTACATTCTTCACATTCTCTATGGCCACACAACTTCATCAAATACATAATTTTGTAGCAGAAGTCACAAATATTCCGGTGAATTGTTGCTGGTTCACTTTGTACATTCATAATATCACGGTGAAGGCATATTTATTTGGTTGTGCTTTTTAATTTCTAAAAAAAAACAAGAAATCAAGTGTTATTTTATTTATTATAAGATATTGAATAGTTAATTGTAATACAGTAGTGGCTATAAAAATTGCATCATTCATAAAATCTGATAAAAATATGTTTAATATTTTTCTCTTACTTTTAATTAAATTATGGTACAGTATTAAGTGCGGGTTGTGTTTACCTAAGCACCACAAAAAAGAACGTCTTTTTATATTGAAGTCCCCAATATCTATATATTGTTCTATCAGAGACAGTAAAATATCGGGTATATGCTACCTATAATTATATATGTACAGTACTGTATATTATTTATCCAAGCGCCAACCTTATCTTTACCTAAGAAAAATTTTGACCATCGTCTAAATTGTCATAAATTCTTACTTGGTGTAATTTTTTACATCTCAGATATTTTTGTTTAATTACTGTATTATCACGTCACGACATGAGACGATGACGTACAATTGAACAGGCACTTGGCGACTGAACACGGTGCCAATCGACGTTTTCGATACGCATTTTAGAAAAAGCGTTATAAAAAGTTTCAATTCACATAAATTATAGATTTTGTAAATCTGAGTAACACTTTGAATAAAATTCATTTGTTTCCATGCAATTTTGTCTTTATAAGCATAAAATTCAACAGTAAAATTGAATTAGCTCTATGGGGAAACCCCCGAGAACTTTGACCTATCGACCGAAAGTTTGGCCAAATCCTCACTGATAACGAGAAAGGCTTAAGTTAAAAATTTGAACTTTCTAGACCCAGTAGTTTTTCTCTACGAGCGTCTGCAGTGCCAAATAAAGAACAAGAAAATAGAGCTTTTTGGCAATTTTTGCACTTTTCAATTGCTTATACAGTGATACTTCGGTTTTCGTCGACAATCGGCGAAATCCGAGGCAATTATTTCCATATGAATCAATGTAAATCCAATTAATTTGTTCTAGACATTCCAAAAACATTTTACAGAGAGTAAATATAGTGTTTAACACTAAAAGCAATAAGAAATTAATATAAAAGCGTCCGATTTCAGCAATCTTAATGTCGCTCTCGTATTTTTCAATGATTTTCTTCTTTAACTCGATCGTGTTCCTGGCCTTCTTCAAAGGACTGCTGGATCTGGAAACTTTCTTTGGTTCTAAGATGGAACAAAAAAGAAAGCAACGGAAGTGTTTGGCTAAAAGTGCAGACTAAAAATGCTCACACATCGAGAAACAACGCCACACTGAGCAGGAAAAAGCGTCGGTCGCCCTTTGTTTTCGCAAAATCAGCAGTGAGGTTACAGGGCACGCCGACGAAATCTGAGACAAATTTTTCGCAGGAAGAATCGATGAAAACCGAAACCAAGGTATTACTGTATTTCGGCAACTGCATTACAAAAAATCTTGAAATTTTGCACACTATCTAATCAAACAATTTTCTTTTGAACGAGATATTTGGAATTACTTTAAGTGTTTGAGGGGCGGAGAAATTAAAGTTCGAAAATCGGCAACTCTTATTCCTATATATGTAGTCTGTCGGTGACTTTTCAGTGACTTGACAGTCCGTAACTCCTGATCTTTTCGAATGTACAAAACTCATTTTAATTGAATTCTAAATATCAAGCGGATTGGACAGGACACTTTAAATTGTGCATAAAAGTTACGACGAGACGTAAATACTCGTAGCCTACATTGATTAATTATTAATTCATCAAAAAACGACGTGGGCAGAATAACGACAAAGAAAAATGAAACTTGTTATGAACGTAAGGATGGACGAAGGACGGTTTAGGAAGAGTTTGAATGTTGAGTTATGAAGGCGATTTGCTAGCGACTTCAGGAGGTGGAAAATGTATTCAATATTCTTGCATTTATAAGATTATTTATGATCTAAGCGACTAATAAAAATTGATATAGGAATTTGTCTGCTTTGTAGTTATGAGTAGGTGTAATTTTTCAAACAATTTTGCTTTTTTTCAATAAATAATTTATTAAAAAATTACATCTATGCCACTACAAAGCTATTAAGATTGTAAATGCCAGAATAACGAATATCTTCTCACACTTTAAAGTGTGAGATCTAGATCTCCAGTGAGCGATAGTTCTAAATTATGCTGCTTCTAAATTAATTGAATTTTTTCAAGATTTTTTTGCAATAAATATGTTGTTATAATTTTGATCTGTACATTAATTATTGGACAGTTCTCATACTTTTCATTATATTTATTTTAAAAAAGATATAACCATTGTACATTAATGGTAGTTCTGTACATTGTTTTGAGAAATCATGAAATTGAATCTAACTTCAGGCATAGATAACGTTAAATTTTTAATGAGGTTTCACTACTTGTTTAGGAAATATACTTCAGCTATTATCAGAGCTATACTTGGATGAAAGATGCATAAGGTGTCCCCAATAAACTTAATTTTGACAAAATACAAGGTTCATGCAAAGATGCTGACAGGTTCAGGTACAAGAATAAATTGGTGTCCCCTCACCTCATGAGATAAGAAAATATTAAACTGTATCCAATACATAAACTGAGCTCTATTGATTGGGACTTCTGGATTTAAGACTAAAGTCATATCACTGGTCATCATACCCTCCCTCCCAGGTTGCTGTGACAGAGAGCAGCTCTGAAATGCCAAATTTATGTTTAAACAGTTGTACGTGTAAACATAGTATAAGAAAAACAAATGTTTTTGGATTCAGGATGTCCCTTTTAAAAATACCAAAGAGTTTAGTGTCCTGGTCCTGAGCAATGTATGTTTGGATATTATTGTTAGCAGCATTATTCTTATACATGAATTTTAAAATGTAAAAATTAAATTAGTTTATCTAAATTTTGTTTTGTCACTTTAAAACAAAAACTTAGTTCTTTAATTAGTTGTCAAACTGCCAAATTAGTGCAGTTATATTGAATTATAAATTGACAAAACTAATTTCAAACTTTTTAGACAAATTTATATATTAAAGGTGCAATATAAGCTTATAAATAACAATGAATCAAATTTAATCTGCAATAACATTTGCATTATTGCAAATTAGATTTGATTCATTATGATATAAATAGTTCAGTCAAGCTGTTGAAAATATATCTAGAAAAAATAAAGATATTTACCATTTTAAACCTGTAGTTCTTATTTGATTCATTTCAAAATTCTTCCAGCGTATCTGTCTCCAGAGAAACAGATCTATAGAAATTTAAAAATTTGTTTATATTATAAAATAATATACTGTATATAATATATATAATGATGTAAATACATACTTGGAGATAGACATTCCAAACATATTAAGTAGAGCAGGTGGACTAGACAATCTTTTCTGTGCATGAAACTGTTCAGAAAATTCATGGATGCGATGAGTAAGAAATATGGCATGTTCTCGCTTTCTTATCATAAATTCACTTGGAATTAGCCATTTGTTTTCAAAACACTCCTCAATAGTTGGTCGCTTTCTAAAATTATAACAAATACCATTTAATTATAAAAACAGAAAAGCTAAAGTTCATTATCAAATATAAATTACATTATGAAATTTTTAAAAGTATAAAAGATAATTGTGTGATGACTATTTTAAACTAACTTTAAATAATCATCTCAAAAGCCTATTAAAATTGAATTAGTAAATCAACTAATAATATGTTTTATATACAGTGGAACCTCGGTACATGTCTGCTTTAGAATACGTCCTGTTTGGACGAAACAAATTTTGCTCGGATACGACTTTTGTTTGGTATACGACTTAATTCAATTATACACGCCATCTACGAACAAGTAGCACTATCAGTGTACTAGACGTTCGTGGTGCCACGGTTTATAACTTTGTTAAATTTCTTCTGATTTTAATTTGTAAGTAACATTTTATTATTTTTATTAATCACTAGCTTACCCGTCGCGCATTGCTGCGATCTCAGAAGAAAGGAAATTCAAGCAAACTTGTTATGATAAAATTCAATTTACATTTCATCATTTTAATTGAAACTTATTATTATTATTATTAATTTTCATGNGGGTTGTGTTTACCTAAGCACCACAAAAAAGAACGTCTTTTTATATTGAAGTCCCCAATATCTATATATTGTTCTATCAGAGACAGTAAAATATCGGGTATATGCTACCTATAATTATATATGTACAGTACTGTATATTATTTATCCAAGCGCCAACCTTATCTTTACCTAAGAAAAATTTTGACCATCGTCTAAATTGTCATAAATTCTTACTTAGTGTAATTTTTTACATCTCAGATATTTTTGTTTAATTACTGTATTATCACGTCACGACATGAGACGATGACGTACAATTGAATAGGCACTTGGCGACTGAACGCGCTGCCAATCGAGAATCGATTAATTTTATGGAAGAAACTTTTCAAACAGCCGTAGTCCGTAAACTGCATACGTGCCGGGCTGTGATTGGCTGGACTCGTAGAAAATGGATTCATAAAAACCGGAATGTTTTTCCGGAAAATGTAATTATAAAGTAATAATTATTGGATATAGGCTATACTGTTTTACAGAATATGTAAAATTTTTCAAAATACCATGATGATGTAGTATTAGTGACTGCAAAACAAATTATAGAAATGAAAATAAAATTTTTCCTATCTTTTCTTTACCAAAAGAGCCACCGAGAAGTGTTTGGATTCGAAAAATTCCCACTGATTTGGCAGGATTAAAAACCCTCTAATACGCATAAAACTTTTGATGAGTCAAACATTATTCGAACTGACAAATGCTTAGTGAATAGTCAGCTAAAAAAAATTCTTAAAAATATTCCAAAATTAAAAGGAGTCATTCAAATCATGTTTTCCAAATTTACCTGAATATTTTAATGTACTGTATTCACTGTACAGTACTACTTAAAGACTTGCAGATGTAGAAATCTTCAAGAAGCAATAAAACAAAATCTTTTGGAATATAAAAAAATACAAAGAAGATAGGACAGTTACAAATCTCCAAGACATTGTGGCACATTACAAAATAAGGATACAGGAAAATGTAATTGGACATTATTAGAAAGTGAACGGACTGGATACGTCGGTCCCCGTACCTCACCACCCGTTGTGAGCCTGGCCAAACCCATAATGTGCTTGAAATGAGGCCCTCTTATTGCCTGCAGGGCAGAGTTTAAAAAACATATTGACAAACTACGTAATTGTTTTTCTAATAAGTCATTTTTAATATTAACAAGTGTTTATTTTAAATGTGGAGTATATTTTATTTTACTTTTTTTTAAACTATTGTATATTAAAGAAATACAAATAGTTTGCTTGTATTATTATATAAACTTGAAAAAAGTAAAATTTTACTCTATATTAATGTGTGAAGTTTAAGCGTAACGCAAAATATGTTCGTAATACACAAGAATATCTCATATATTTATAAGTATTTTTTCTAGAACATTTACTGTAAACCACATTATACTGCTAGATAGATGGAGACTATCAGCACTAAGTTGGTCACGTAATTTACCGACGTGTCGATCACGCCCAGGTCTATCTTTCTCGTTTGTCTTGGGTGCGAACAGTACGTCGTCATTATTTCACCGGGCTAAAGTAATCGCCCTATTTTTGTGTGATCGATGTGCTGTATTGTACATTTAATATACGTATTCAATGAAGAACTTTCGTACGCATTGCTCGCTAATAGCGAGGTTGTGGCCGAAGTTTTCATCTCTAAAACGTTAACGTCGAACGTTGAGCACCGCTATCTTGTAAGCGGCGCTCGACATTCGACGTTTACGTTTTACAGATGAAAACGTCGGTCACAACTTCGCTAATGTCCCGAACTGGCATATGTCAACCGCTTTTTGCCGGGTTTAAAATTTACGAAGATATTTCGAGACATAATGCAAAAAAGTCGTAAAGCGGTTTTTCGTTCCTACTCGGACGCAAAATTTACTAATTTAGGAAGGATTTTGGGTCGGCCACGTTCCCGCTTATAGCCTAACTGGATGACGTTCTACGGAATATCTTAAGAAATTTTAAGCCACGTTCTACCGGGCTTAAAATTTCCTAAGATATTCCGAAACATATTGTGAAAAATTTGAAGAGGCTTTTTGCTGGTTCTAATCTTGACATTTATATTGTATTTCATAAGCAATCACGTCTAATCTTTCATAAATCACGTGCTCGCCATAACGTTACAAAATTTAATGCCCCTTACACAGATGTTTAAATAAGTTTATTTCGAAATTATATCTGCAAAGAAATAACGTTATTTCTTTTAGAAATATATTTTAGACAATATTAAATAAAAGATGTTACAAGAACTACATTCTTCACATTCTCTATGGCCACACAACTTCATCAAATACATAATTTTGTAGCAGAAGTCACAAATATTCCGGTGAATTGTTGCTGGTTCACTTTGTACATTCATAATATCACGGTGAAGGCATATTTATTTGGTTGTGCTTTTTAATTTCTAAAAAAAAACAAGAAATCAAGTGTTATTTTATTTATTATAAGATATTGAATAGTTAATTGTAATACAGTAGTGGCTATAAAAATTGCATCATTCATAAAATCTGATAAAAATATGTTTAATATTTTTCTCTTACTTTTAATTAAATTATGGTACAGTATTAAGTGCGGGTTGTGTTTACCTAAGCACCACAAAAAAGAACGTCTTTTTATATTGAAGTCCCCAATATCTATATATTGTTCTATCAGAGACAGTAAAATATCGGGTATATGCTACCTATAATTATATATGTACAGTACTGTATATTATTTATCCAAGCGCCAACCTTATCTTTACCTAAGAAAAATTTTGACCATCGTCTAAATTGTCATAAATTCTTACTTGGTGTAATTTTTTACATCTCAGATATTTTTGTTTAATTACTGTATTATCACGTCACGACATGAGACGATGACGTACAATTGAACAGGCACTTGGCGACTGAACACGGTGCCAATCGACGTTTTCGATACGCATTTTAGAAAAAGCGTTATAAAAAGTTTCAATTCACATAAATTATAGATTTTGTAAATCTGAGTAACACTTTGAATAAAATTCATTTGTTTCCATGCAATTTTATCTTTATAAGCATAAAATTCAACAGTAAAATTGAATTAGCTCTATGGGGAACCCCGGAGAACTTTGACCTATCGACCGAAAGTTTGGCCAAATCCTCACTGATAACGAGAAAGGCTTAAGTTAAAAATTTGAACTTTCTAGACCCAGTAGTTTTTCTCTATGAGCGTCTGCAGTGCCAAATAAAGAACAAGAAAATAGAGCTTTTTGGCAATTTTTGCACTTTTCAATTGCTTATACAGTGATACTTCGGTTTTCGTCGACAATGGGCGAAATCCGAGGCAATTATTTCCATATGAATCAATGTAAATCCAATTAATTTGTTCTAGACATTCCAAAAACATTTTACAGAGAGTAAATATAGTGTTTAACACTAAAAGCAATAAGAAATTAATATAAAATTAATATAAAAGCGGCCGATTTCAGCAATCTTAATGTCGCTCTCGTATTTTTCAATGATTTTCTTCTTTAACTCGATCGTGTTCCTGGCCTTCTTCAAAGGACTGCTGGATCTGGAAACTTTCTTTGGTTCTAAGATGGAACAAAAAAGAAAGCAACGGAAGTGTTTGGCTAAAAGTGCAGACTAAAAATGCTCACACATCGAGAAACAACGCCACACTGAGCAGGAAAAAGCGTCGGTCGCCCTTTGTTTTCGCAAAATCAGCAGTGAGGTTACAGGGCACGCCGACGAAATCTGAGACAAATTTTTCGCAGGAAGAATCGATGAAAACCGAAACCAAGGTATTACTGTATTTCGGCAACTGCATTACAAAAAATCTTGAAATTTTGCACACTATCTAATCAAACAATTTTCTTTTGAACGAGATATTTGGAATTACTTTAAGTGTTTGAGGGGCGGAGAAATTAGAGTTCGAAAATCGGCAACTCTTACTCCTATATATGTAGTCTGTCGGTGACTTTTCAGTGACTTGACAGTCCGTAACTCCTGATCCTTTCGAATGTACAAAACTCATTTTAATTGAATTCTAAATATCAAGCGGATTGGACAGGACACTTTAAATTGTGCATAAAAGTTACGACGAGACGTAAATACTCGTAGCCTACATTGATTAATTATTAATTCATCAAAAAACGACGTGGGCAGAAGAACGACAAAGAAAAATGAAACTTGTTATGAACGTAAGGATGGACGAAGGACGGTTTAGGAAGAGTTTGAATGTTGAGTTATGAAGGCGATTTGCTAGCGACTTCAGGAGGTGGAAAATGTATTCAATATTCTTGCATTTATAAGATTATTTATGATCTAAGCGACTAATAAAAATTGATATAGGAATTTGTCTGCTTTGTAGTTATGAGTAGGTGTAATTTTTCAAACAATTTTGCTTTTTTTCAATAAATAATTTATTAAAAAATTACATCTATGCCACTACAAAGCTATTAAGATTGTAAATGCCAGAATAACGAATATCTTCTCACACTTTAAAGTGTGAGATCTAGATCTCCAGTGAGGGATAGTTCTAAATTATGCTGCTTCTAAATTAATTGAATTTTTTCAAGATTTTTTTGCAATAAATATGTTGTTATAATTTTGATCTGTACATTAATTATTGGACAGTTCTCATACTTTTCATTATATTTATTTTAAAAAAGATATAACCATTGTACATTAATGGTAGTTCTGTACATTGTTTTGAGAAATCATGAAATTGAATCTAACTTCAGGCATAGATAACGTTAAATTTTTAATGAGGTTTCACTACTTGTTTAGGAAATATACTTCAGCTATTATCAGAGCTATACTTGGATGAAAGATGCATAAGGTGTCCCCAATAAACTTAATTTTGACAAAATACAAGGTTCATGCAAAGATGCTGACAGGTTCAGGTACAAGAATAAATTGGTGTCCCCTCACCTCATGAGATAAGAAAATATTAAACTGTATCCAATACATAAACTGAGCTCTATTGATTGGGACTTCTGGATTTAAGACTAAAGTCATATCACTGGTCATCATACCCTCCCTCCCAGGTTGCTGTGACAGAGAGCAGCTCTGAAATGCCAAATTTATGTTTAAACAGTTGTACGTGTAAACATAGTATAAGAAAAACAAATGTTTTTGGATTCAGGATGTCCCTTTTAAAAATACCAAAGAGTTTAGTGTCCTGGTCCTGAGCAATGTATGTTTGGATATTATTGTTAGCAGCATTATTCTTATACATGAATTTTAAAATGTAAAAATTAAATTAGTTTATCTAAATTTTGTTTTGTCACTTTAAAACAAAAACTTAGTTCTTTAATTAGTTGTCAAACTGCCAAATTAGTGCAGTTATATTGAATTATAAATTGACAAAACTAATTTCAAACTTTTTAGACAAATTTATATATTAAAGGTGCAATATAAGCTTATAAATAACAATGAATCAAATTTAATCTGCAATAACATTTGCATTATTGCAAATTAGATTTGATTCATTATGATATAAATAGTTCAGTCAAGCTGTTGAAAATATATCTAGAAAAAATAAAGATATTTACCATTTTAAACCTGTAGTTCTTATTTGATTCATTTCAAAATTCTTCCAGCGTATCTGTCTCCAGAGAAACAGATCTATAGAAATTTAAAAATTTGTTTATATTATAAAATAATATACTGTATATAATATATATAATGATGTAAATACATACTTGGAGATAGACATTCCAAACATATTAAGTAGAGCAGGTGGACTAGACAATCTTTTCTGTGCATGAAACTGTTCAGAAAATTCATGGATGCGATGAGTAAGAAATATGGCATGTTCTCGCTTTCTTATCATAAATTCACTTGGAATTAGCCATTTGTTTTCAAAACACTCCTCAATAGTTGGTCGCTTTCTAAAATTATAACAAATACCATTTAATTATAAAAACAGAAAAGCTAAAGTTCATTATCAAATATAAATTACATTATGAAATTTTTAAAAGTATAAAAGATAATTGTGTGATGACTATTTTAAACTAACTTTAAATAATCATCTCAAAAGCCTATTAAAATTGAATTAGTAAATCAACTAATAATATGTTTTATATACAGTGGAACCTCGGTACATGTCTGCTTTAGAATACGTCCTGTTTGGACGAAACAAATTTTGCTCGGATACGACTTTTGTTTGGTATACGACTTAATTCAATTATACACGCCATCTACGAACAAGTAGCACTATCAGTGTACTAGACGTTCGTGGTGCCACGGTTTATAACTTTGTTAAATTTCTTCTGATTTTAATTTGTAAGTAACATTTTATTATTTTTATTAATCACTAGCTTACCCGTCGCGCATTGCTGCGATCTCAGAAGAAAGGAAATTCAAGCAAACTTGTTATGATAAAATTCAATTTACATTTCATCATTTTAATTGAAACTTATTATTATTATTAATTTTCAACGGGAAAACATTTCAAAGTGTCGTTTCAATTCTATTTATTTATTGGAGTGCTTGTGGATACACAATATTTTTTGTTTTTCCGTCTGGTGCTGTACACGAATAAATCAGATGATTTCCTGACAGCGTGAGCCGGCCACATACAGTTTTCCATGCAAAAAGCACGGATTCTCCAAATTTAACGCATACACTTGCNGTTTTCCAAATTTACCTGAATATTTTAATGTACTGTATTCACTGTACAGTACTACTTAAAGACTTGCAGATGTAGAAATCTTCAAGAAGCAATAAAACAAAATCTTTTGGAATATAAAAAAATACAAAGAAGATAGGACAGTTACAAATCTCCAAGACATTGTGGCACATTACAAAATAAGGATACAGGAAAATGTAATTGGACATTATTAGAAAGTGAACGGACTGGATACGTCGGTCCCCGTACCTCACCACCCGTTGTGAGCCTGGCCAAACCCATAATGTGCTTGAAATGAGGCCCTCTTATTGCCTGTAGGGCAGAGTTTAAAAAACATATTGACAAACTACGTAATTGTTTTTCTAATAAGTCATTTTTAATATTAACAAGTGTTTATTTTAAATGTGGAGTATATTTTATTTTACCTTTTTTTAACTATTGTATATTAAAGAAATACAAATAGTTTGCTTGTATTATTATATAAACTTGAAAAAAGTAAAATTTTACTCTATATTAATGTGTGAAGTTTAAGCGTAACGCAAAATATGTTCGTAATACACAAGAATATCTCATATATTTATAAGTATTTTTTCTAGAACATTTACTGTAAACCACATTATACTGTCTAGATAGATGGAGACTATCAGCACTAAGTTGGTCACGTAATTTACCGACGTGTCGATCACGCCCAGTGCCCTTAGTCTCGAGTTTTTCGTGTTGTACTCGAACTGACGTCATCGAACTCACTCGTGTTACTACGACTCACATAATTGGTAGTCTCGAGTTAGACTCTTCGAGCGAACTCGAAAGGCGAGCGGAAATAGGTCATATTCACTTGTTTACGTTTGTCGATAAGCATGATGAGATTATTTACAATGCATCTGGGTTTGCGACTATAATGAATCGACCAATCAACTTAACTGTAACAAGTTATAAACAAATCAACGCGAATTAGTTTACACGTGCTACAGTTAAAAGTTGTCTTGTGGCAATATAGTACGCAGAAACAAAATGAAAACCTCGAATGTTTTATTTTAAAAAATAAGCGAAGAACAAAAAGAAATATTAGTAACATATATAGAAAATAATAAGAAAATGAACAGCGGAAAATTCGACAACGAATTTACAAGAAAAAGACAATTCGCTTTGTGGAGAGAATTACTTGAAAAATTAATTGCGTGTGTTGAACCTAAAAAATCCGTTATGTAATGGAAAATGTATTTAAACTTAATCCTTTCTTCATATAGTTTTCTTCCTTGATCTATTTCTTAAATTGTTTTGTCTATTAAGATTATTTATTAATCAGAACTTAACACTTCTGATTAATA